GGTACGTCGATCCTCGGGGGCGCCGCTTGGTTCGTCTCCAAGTGCTCCGCGATGTACTTCGCGCGCAGATGCTTGGCCTTGTCTATCAGCGTCTCAGGAAGAATGCGGCCCTTCACCGTTCCACGATAAGAGCAGAACCACTGGAAGAGCATCTCTCTGAAGAGCGGAGCCTTCTTGCGCCTGCCCAGCGGGATCCTTGACGGGGCCCGGCAAGTTTTCCGACCGCTGCGTTGCAGGACGAATCCACTAGCGCGGGACGCCCCCTCGCGCTTCTGCACCCATCTGAAGTGTCGCACGGCGGCGCACGTCTCCCGCTGGGAAGGCTCCCTGCCCAAGCGCTTCTGTAACCAGGTGGCGACGAAACCACGCGGTAGGCGGCCCTTGGGCCCAGAGACATTGGCTGCGGCAACATGATCCCGAAGAGCTCGCCCGATTTCCAAACGCGCTTCAAGTTTTTCAGACCGATATCCCCCTCTGCATCGCCTGCGAGGCTGCTCAGGCTTGGGAGGTCGAGGGCCCATGGCCCGTTTCCTCCCTCTTTCCGATAGCATCCCCAGCACGATGCCCGCGTCGGGCATTTCTGATGTGGGGTTCAGGCCAGCCGCGTTGCAAATGCCGTGGACGAATGCTGCTGTCTCGGAATCTCTCCCGCCATCGTCCTGTGCACCCTCTCCCGCGCTCGCTAGCGCGAGCGCTGGAGGGCCCACTGGAGGCGCTCCCGAGGAGAGCGCTGCCAACCTCCCCATGGCCAACGCCCAGGCAGCGCAGCACGCTGGGCTGGCGGCCTGGCTCGCCAGAAAGGACGCAACCTTCGCGCGCTCGGCCAACCGCGTCTCCTTTGTGTCAGGTGCGCCCCTGCACCACAGGACGGAGCGCGGCAGGCAATCCCCGTCCGCAAGCACTGGCCACATACTCAGTCCCCGAGTAGACAAGTTGCTGGCGAGGCGACTGCTGCACGGGAAACCTCGGCCGCCGCACTTGGACCCGTCGCAAGGCACGTGAGGCGAAAAACTTTGCAACCCTGGTAAGACGTACACGGGGAAGAAGTGGATGCCTTTCGTCTTGCCAACAAGGTCTGCCAATGACGATGCATGATGCAACTCAGTGCAGTCCTCATCGTGCCGCGATATCCAGCCCACTCCTAATCGCAGCGGCGCCTCGTCTGGATGGTGAGCTACGCTGGCCTGGACATCGCCTCCGGCTCTGCCCATCGCATCGGCCACCTCCGCGAAGAGTTCTCCAGGAATCTGAAGGCTCGAACGCTCAAATTCCAGAAGCAGGCGGCGGCCGGTCACCAACGACCACGCCACCGCTGCTGAGACGTCTGCGTAGTCGAACTCCCGTGCAATCTCGGCGGCCACGCAAGACAAGTGCGCGGCAGCAACTGCCGCGTGCCCGTTGTCTAGGCGACCCGGGCTCCCTGGCGGAGGCTCCGCTGCGTCCGCGTGGTCATCGCCCGCGGCGCCAGCGCCTCCCGTGCCACCAAGGCTCGCTAGCGCGAGCCCCGCTGTGCCTGCGCCCTCCTCTGCGGGGCCTGCCTGCCCCAGGCAAGGGGAGCTCGGTGGCGCGAGGCCCGCGCCGCCCGTGCCCTCCTCTGCGGCCGCGCGCGGCGGTGCTGGAAGCTCCGCCGGAGCGTCTGACCCTGCGCCCGGCGCCGCCCGTGGCGGAGCGTCGCGCACCCGCAGGATGCAGCACGGCACATCATTCGGCTGCTTCAGCTTAGCCCTCGGCTTCGGCTGGCATGGAGGCGGGGCCCCGCCCCCGGAGGACGCGCTCGCCATGCTGGGGCCCCCCAGCACTCCTCGAGCCCAAGGTGGCCGCGGCAGCAGAGAGCATTCCAAGGGCTGGGACAAACGAAGCCACCCGCCATTGCACTGCAAGAACCGACTCCTGCGAGACCCCAGACGTCGACTCTCACTCCCCCCCGTGCCGGCGGACCACCCCTACGTCGCGACGCTAAACCTCCCCGTGTCTGCGCGCAACCCCTACGTCGCGACGCTAAACCTCCCCGTGTCTGCGCGCAACCCCTATGTCGCGACGCTAAACCTCCCCGTGTCTGCGCAGAACCACTATGTCGCGACGCTAAACCTCCCCGTGTCTGCGCGCAACCCCTACGTCGCGACGCTAAACCTCCCCGTGTCTGCGCAGAACCACTATGTCGCGACGCTAAACCTCCCCGTGTCTGCGCGCAACCCCTACGTCGCGACGCTAAACCTCTCCGTGCCTGCGGGCAACCCCTCCGTCGCGACGCTAAACCTCCCCGTGTCTGCGCGAACCCTACACTTCCGCGAACCCCGCAACCCGCGAAACGAAATCCCCCCGTGACTCCGGGATACCCACACCTCGGGAAACGTACTCCCCCCCCCCGCCCCCCCGTCCATGCAGGAACCCCAAATATATCACCCCATGCAGCCTGTCCTGGTCGGCGGGGGGAAACACAAGCAGCCGCCCCGACGCCCTCCCCTGGCAGGCCCAGACGTGCCGACGCGCCTGTGTCTCTCCCAATGGCGACAGGGTGGGGCCCCAAGATGACGGCTGGCGGCGCGGCAACGCTTGAGGGCGAGTTGACAGATATGCACGGGGATCGCCACGAGTTTTTTGGGGCACGGACGCCTGGAGGGCCTCCGCTAGCGCGGAAGCCGCGATCCCCCCGAATCCGGTTCACGCCGGACCACAAAGTGTCTGCGCAGGGACTTGTAAGCCCGCAGGCAATGATTCTCATATACCTCGCGCATCGGCCCATCGAACACGGTGAGCGTGTCTTTGAACATGGCCCTCTCTCTCCTGCGCCCCTCGCTAAGCTCAGCCGCGCGCTTCAGAAGACCTTGCAGTGGGCGGCCAACGTCAAGAGTGGTCGTGAAGCCCAGCTCAGGGCTCTGGTGCGGAAGACGAATGTCGTAGTTCTGCCGCGCACCCCAGTCCGTGATGGCCTTGGACGAGACGAGGTAGTCGACGTCCTCAGTCGTCCAATCGATCCCAGGGTACTCGAATGGCGGCACCACAGGCGGGTCATGTCCGCGGAACGCAGCTGAAACCGCCTGCGCTATAGCCAACCCCATGTCGGTCGAAGAAGGATCTAGTCCGCTAGCGCGGACGCGGCGCTTACCTTCCTCCAGTTCAGCCACGAAGGAAGGGATGCCACTATCCACGCCAGGAGCGCTCACTTCCAACTTCACAGGCGCGCGGCCTGCCCCCGGGCACGCGGAGACGGACTCGACCCCCGCTGGCGCGGGGGCCGCCGCGGGCTGAGATGAATGAGGCCCTTTGGTTCTCATTCGCCGTCGAGGAACCACGAGCGCGGAGACGGGCTCCGCCCCCGGGCACGCGGAGACGGACTCGGCCCCCGCTAGCGCGGAGCGCTTCCGCACGTTCACGGCCTTCCAGGCCGCCGTCCTGCGGAAGCACGGCGGCCTGGAATCCTTCCTCGTCCTCTTCCTCCTGGCACTCCGCATGGCGCCCCCGATCAATGGCGACGGAATGCTGTCTGGAACCCGCTCGGCCACGGAGAGGCATTGAAGGAGCGAGATCTTGGGGCGAGCATGCGCAGACTCACTGTCGCTCGTACGGAGGCGTTCTATGTCTTTCGATCAAATGGTTGTGATATCGTTGCACCCGTCCTGACATCCTGAGCCGTGCTTTTTTCGTTTCGATATCGGTTCTCCATGCTTCCTCGTGTCAAAGCAGTTTTCGTTTCGATATCGTTTCCCCATTAGTGCGCATTGACGTGGACTCGCCGCGGGTTCGGTTCGAAGTTCGCCCTTGTTCCGATTCGTTCGATGAGCCGAAACCCTCCGGGGGGGAGGGCCTGAACGCACCAGCGAAAACAACAGCTATGGGTGCCTGTTGGGGGGCGAAGAGGAGGAAGGGAGGGGGGGGGCGCAGGAGGGGGAGGGCGAAGAGGACTGAGGAGAAGAGAAACATAGGCAAAAGAAGAGGTGGATGACGACATCAAGCTTTCTCCCGGAGAAGCGCGCCCCGGCCAGGGGCCCGGGCACCTCTTGGCACAGCGCCCCACTCGCCGGCCAAACCAAAGAAAGCTACCTGAGGCAAACGCCCTCGTGAGAGACGCGGCATCACGTTCGCTAGCGCGAGCGCTACAGACAGCAACCGCGCCACGCCTACGAGAGGCCCCACCTGGCGTCGAAGCCATCGGGCTTCTCGAACCCCGAAGCCTCGGCCATCCGAATCAACTCAGTCGCCGCAGCGAACTTCTTCGACGAGAACTCCTCCGGGTCCAGAAGCTCGCGGGTCGGTCCCGACGAGCGCCCGCTCCCGTAGGTGCGCTTGTAGTTCTGCACGTGCTTGCTGAGCGAGACAACCTCGGTGTCCTTGATCCAGGAGAGCCTCCACGCGCGGTCTGCCGGGCTGTAGATGATGTTCGGGTAGTCCTTCGGCCCCACGCATTCGTGGCCCACGCTAGCGCGGGAGCACTCCTCCTGCAGGCGAAGCAGAACCCACTCCAAGTCATCCTCCAGCAGCCGCACATGAGCCTTGTAAGCCTTCTGCGTCCTCTTAGCTGCGTCCCCAGGTACGTTGAGGATCACCAGCGCCTTGGGCGGCTCATCAGAGCGCAAACTGGGCACTGTCACAGCCATTTCCACTTCCGTCTTCGCTGTGGGCGGCTTTTTCTGAGCCTTCATTTTCGCTCGCGGTTGCGCCGCTAGCGCGGAGCTCGCGGCGCTGCTGGGGCTGCTTCCGAAGCCGGAATCCAGATCGTCCAACGCCTCCCCTTTCGTCGGAGTTGCGGCCTCGGCCTCCTCGACACTTTTGAGCTGATCCACGATCTGATGGATGATGGTGTTCTCTGGAACGCTCGGGCCTGCCGCCGTGCTGCGCGGCGGTTTCCCGGTCAGGACCTTGCAGACCCACTCGTCGGCCAAGTTGAACTCGACGAAGGTGCGTCCCTTGAAAGAGCGCGTGTTCACTGGCCAGTGCTTGTTGGAGAATCCCCCACTGATGTTCATCTTCATGACCTTGCGAATAGGCTTCCACGACGGTGGGGCCCGCGGACCCTTCCCCATCCAGGAAATGGCGCGCGCGGGGGCGTCCTCTGCAGATTGGCTACAAGGGCTCGGGCCGAAACGGCTGCGGCGCCCCGATCTGGCCGCCGGCTCTCGGCAGAATCGCGCGCGGGGAAAGGTGGGGAGGTTGAAAGAATTTCGTGTTCATACATCACGTAAATGCCTTGCAAGCTCAATACTACAGCTACGGCGGCGCGACTTCCCGAGCCAGGGTGCTACGCGCCGCCGCAGGGTGACCCAGGGGTGGCACCGCTAGCGCGGGGCGTCGTCGCGAAAAAACCCCTCACGGAGCCTTGCCCTTCGTGCCAGGCGTCTTCTGAGACAGCCACGTCGAGGCAGTCTTCGCTTTCGGAGTCTTCTGCGTCGGCGGGACGTGGCAGACGATCTCAGCCCCGTCCTCGATGTCCTCGGGGTTCGTCCACACGGGAATTTCGGTGGCCTCGCTCTGCAACTGATCGGCCAAACAGCTCACGAGGTCCCCCTGACATTTCACAGTGCTCATGACGGAGAGCGTGATCATGTGAAGGTTTGCGGCCTGCTTCACGCTGTGCTTCTGGGCCAACCAGAATGGGTGAAGGAATTTCGTCTTCGCGTCCCAGCTGATGGAAGGAACGATATTGTAGGGGTTGCTCTTCTCGTCAGAATGAACTGTTGGGATCGCCTTGTCGGATATGCTACTGCTCGTGATGTTCGCCGCCGACTTGGGCAAAGGAACGAGCACCAGCTGCCCAACTTTGTAGCTCTTGGCGGCGAAGACCTTGACGTCAGTCGGAGGGCGGGTCGGCGCCTGGGGCCCGCTATCGCGTCGCCACTCCTCGGATCCCGCCGCCGCTGTCTCGAGATACGAGAAGGTGGCGACCACTTTCAAACCAGCTGCGGATATACGCGCCTGCTGGTGCGCCAGGGCGAGAGCCCTCAGGATCTTGCCAGCCACCAGAGACCCCCCTCCTGGCATGGCCAACGTGCTCTCCCACTCCACCGCCTGCTCCTCGGAACTCATGCGGGAGGCCTTCACGCCCTCTGTTGCCACGCCGTCAGCGTTGTACAGTGCCAGCCTCGGCGCCAAGGCTGAGGCCTGGGCCGCCGCTAGCGCGGGAGCTGTATTCCCCCCGCTCGCTGGCGCTGTCCTCTGGACGGGGCAGGGAGGCAATTTGCTGCGGATGCCCGGGTGATCTGCCAGCTCGGCGCGCAACCCATCCTCACAGCGGCAGGCCGCCTCCAGAATGGCTCCTTGAGCGTCTGCGGTTGCCCCGAGAAGAGCGGCCTCGGCCAACTCCATTCCCACCTTTCCAAGGAAAGCGCGCCTCTCCTTGGGGGTCATCTTCTGGTAGGCGCCGCACTTGTCGTAGGTAATGTGAAAGCGTCGCAAATGCTCTTCGATCTTGGCAATGGCCTGCTTGCCAGTTGACTTGGCGGGCAACCTGCCCGCTAGCGCGGGCGGCGCCCGCGTGCAAAAGCCGTCCTCGATGGGGCTCTCGGGCGTAGTTTTGTAGGCGAGCTGGATGCACGCCGCTGCGGCGAAAGGCGCGTTGAACCAGTCGTGCACCGCTGAGATGTTCTCCAAGCGGATCCGTCTCCCCTTGTTATCAATGCAATAATGGTGGAATGCTTACAGGGCGTCCCACGCGGGGCTCTGGGCCATGTTCAGCGCCACCTGCAGCAGCTGCCTGTAGTTCTTCATCTCAACCACGCGACCTTGCCCGATCATCCGCAAGTGCTCCTTCGCTTTCTCTTCGCTGATGGTCCCGTTCGCCAACTGCACGTCCTTCATGCACACGGTGTCCGTCAAGGAGGCCAGCACCTGAAGCTCGTGCTCGACAGCCTGCGCGTGCGACTTGTTGTTGATGCACCGCTGGATCATCGCCACGCCCTGCGGTTCCTCCTCGTCGAGCGTGTAAGACAGGATCTCCCACATCAAACCTGCCTCTGCGGCGTCCGCTAGCGCGGGCGTTTTCCCCTCGACCAACTTCGGGTCAATCCTGCCGCTCTGGTCGGCCACCGTGTTGAGCAAGGGGGCGAGTGTGACTTGGGCCCGGCCCGTAATATTTTTCAAGCATTGATTCAAGTGGGTATGCGAAATGGACAAGCACATCGCCTCGGCGGGGTCTGGCGGGGTCAGTCGGGGCCCCCCTTCGCACTTGTCCCGGTTGTGCTTCAGCCCACGCGTGCATCCTGGCTTGACCTCCACGCAAATGCAATCGTGGTCGGCCTCCTCCTGGTCCCACTTGAAGACCAGGTCCATCAAGAGCGACTCGCACCGACCTGGGTTGGGGCTCAAACCCTCACGGTTCACCCAGCGGGCCATCACCTGCGGCGGCTGGAGTCGTCGCTTGGGCGCCCCCTGCAATGAGCACGCGCGATACTTGGTCCGCATGGCAGCGACCTTCTTGTAGTCAATGGTGTCGGCCTCGATGCGATTCACCTCGGTCGCGGAGCTGCCGATGACGGTGTCCATGGGGGCGACCTTGATCTCCGCGGCCTGCCCAGGAATCGCCGCGGCGGGGGCCGCGGCTCCATGGCCTCCCTGAGCGCGGCGACCCTCGGGCAGCGCCGATCCGATCGCCATTTCCTCCCGCGCTGGCACCGCCGCGGGCGCGGCGGCACCCGCTAGCGCGGGCGTGTCTTTCGCCTTCGCCCTCCCTGTGCTGTGTTCGAACAGCGCCGTGTCAGGGGAAGCCCCTCTCGCAGACTCGAACCGCGCCTCCGCCGCCGCCGCCGTTGTGGGAGACGCTGCTGCACGCTGTGCTGCGCGAGCGGCCCTCGCCCTCCGCGGAGCGCGGGTGCGGTTGCGGCTGCGCGAGACGCTGCTGCCGCGAGGGGAGCGGCTGCGGGCGTGCCCGCTCTGGAGTCTGCGGGCCCGTGGTCCGCTAGCGCGGGCCCTGCTCCGAGGGCCACGGCTGCTGCTGGAGGAGCGGCTGGAACAGCGGCGCCGGCTGCCCGAGCGACGCGAGCTGGAGCCACTGGAGCTGCGGCAGCGGCCGCGCCCCATGAGCGGCAGTGGGATGAAGGAAAGCCGTCCTGCAGGTGCGTTTCGGCCGAATCGCCGAGTGTAGGCTCGAGCCAAGGCAACGGAACACATGGCGTTTGCAAATGTATTGATCCTGGCTGTTTGAATGCAAACAGCGTCAAAATTAATTGAACCAGCGCTCGCACAGATTCTCTGGAATATCGAAACACGTGATAGAACCACATTGAAACATCATGAGCGACACGGCACCATGCGAAACATAAACATCACTGCAACACAAAACACGAAACAAGACAACGACAAATAGCAACACCGAACAGTCACACACGAAACGTTAAACACACGGGAACCTACGAACATTGAAAGAGAACCACGAACTGTCGGAACACGCATGCCAAAATACTATAGAAAACAGAACGCGCAAAGTAGAACAACATGTGCGACACGAGCCATACGGAACACTGAACGTCATGAACCAAACGCCAATAAGACGGAAGGCAACAAGCGAAACGAATTCGAAACGAAAATGCATGTAAAAGATATGCAACGACAACGGACATCGGAACGAAAATCGAAACGAAAATCGGGACGCCCATTAGAGCCGCATCGAAACCGAACATAAAAATCGAAACGAAGCAACAAGCCAACGAAACGACAACGGGCCAGACAAAAAAAACATCAGAAGGTACGACATCAAACCGAAACAATCGAAAAGAAACGAAAACCGAAAATGGCACGAAACCGAACCAGAAAACGAAACAGCAATCACACAAGCGAACACCAATTTCGTAATAACTCCAAAAGCAACGACAATCACATCGAAAATGCGCGAAACGAAACGAAACCCGAAACGAAAACACAATTAACGCGGACCTTGAACTGAAGCGAACTAACGTCGATATCGAAATCGGATCGACGCCGAACAACGAAAAGCAAACAAAACAATCGAAAAGCCGAAACAATTCGAAACGAACATTGACGCTAGAACAAAACAACCAGCGAAGTGAAACAAATAAAACAACAACGGCACTCTGTATGCGCACCACGCCGCCATAGCCGCCAAGCGAACTAACGCGCCTGCGGACCAAACACCAACTTCGGTAACTCGCGAGGAAGTCTCGAGCGAGAGCGTCCTTCCTGTGTTTGGGAGCCTCTCTGGCCCAAGAGTCTCGGAGTGAATTGCGAGGCTGCGTCGGGCGGGACAAAGGCGGCGGCGGCGACGACGGCTGCCGACGACGACGCCGACGACGACGGCGGCGGCGGCGGCGGCCTCGGAATCGAATGCCCCGCGGCCCACGTCCTGCCACCGAACTCACGACAGGGCGCCGCCAGCGGCGCCCGGAACCCGCAGTCGGCCCCTCGCGGACTGCGCGCCGAGTGGCCCCGCTACCGCGGGGCCGCATCCGGCGCCGGCTGGCCCCGCTAGCGCGGGGCCGCATCGCGTGGAGTCGCCCTAGGCAGCTCGCGCGCGGAACGCGCGCGCCCTCTCCGTCGAGGTGGCAGCCCTGTGGGCGAAGTGAACGCGCTTTCGCCGCGCTGGCCGCGGGCGCAGTGGCGCAGCGCGTGTGCTGCCGCTTGCCCGTAGCTTCCGAAGCCTCTCCGCAGTCGTGGCGGGCCTGTCTAAGAAAAATGTCCGCGGCCTCCCTTTCTTGTTGCCCACCGCAACACCCAGGTGCACGGGCTGCGGCCCGACCGGTCTGGTTACAATGGGCAGCGTGCACCCGCTGGAATTCTCGGACGCCTTCGACATTTGGGATGGCTTGGGGGCCAGGGACATGAGGTCTGGATACATGTCGCAAATACGTGCGCAACACGCGCGCTGCGCCCTCAAACGAGCCCGCCTCCCCGCTAGCGCGGACGCGTGCCCCCCCTTCATCCTGTGCGTGTTCTCCACGCAGACAAACCGGAAACGCAAGACGCACCCCGCTGCGTCGAACATCATCGCGGCCAATAAGCAATCGAACGCGAGCCCGCTCCACGACGGCAACCCTTTAGCAAGGGTGCCAGCGCG